CCCCCCCCCCCCACCCAAACAACCAAAAAAAAACGTAAGAATGAAGTAAAAAGATTAAAACATCTAATTTTCAATATGAATTTCGTATATTAATTTTTTAATAATAAATATTTATTTCAAAATTTATATAAAAAGTACATATCAAAATATCTATGAATAAAAATATTTTTAAAATATTTAATTAAATTGTATAAATATTGATAATATGTACTATAAATGGGATAGGGTTAGAGATTACTAACCTAGGTAAATTCGTATTAGTAATTGTTTATTAGCCACCAAAAGGATGTGGTGTTGTGTATAAGACTACTCTTCACTGACCTCAGAGGACTCGAGTTCGAGTCCTAGATATAGAAAAATTCTTGGTAGAGAGCACTTCTTTCCAAATGGGGTCCTATGCGGCGCAAATCCGGATATAGTCGGGCACCAATGGGGTACCGGACACCGGGTGGAAAACAAAAAAAAAAGTAATTGATTCACTGAATTTCAATTATTGAATGATTAAATTAAAAGAAAAAAAAGTACATGCAGGGACAATCCTTATGGAAATTATGACGAAAAGTTGATTAGTGCAAAGTCTTCTCATTGATGAGGGATGGTAGAATGATTAATAATGCAAATCTTTTAGTAAGATATAAATGAGGAATAATCACAAAATTATTTTAAAGTATTTTAGAGAGGGCCCCTGAAATGCCTTACGTACCAACTAACAAACACAGATGATCATTCGCTGTACGTCTTATTCAAAAATTCGGGTCAAGAAAAAAATTTGTACCAAAAATAGTTCATGAAATTTGGAAGAAACATATCAAATCAAAAATTATATTATGTTCTTATCTTAACCAAAATTGTTGAGATCTTTTATTATTGGCCAGGCACATGCCCTCTTTTCTCACCTTTCTATGTCACTTTGAAAAGGAAATTTGTCACCACTACACTTGTCTTTTTGATGTGGTCTTTTCAGCTTTACTATCTCATTTTTGGGTTCATTTCACATAAAATCAAACAAAGTATTTCTTGCAGAAGTTATAATGCTAAATATTGTACCAAAAAAAGTATAGGACTAAATTTGTCCCTTTATTTCTAAAAATATTTATTTAAGCTCCGTTTAAGTTTCCAAACAATATGCTCCGTACCATTATGAAAAAGAACAGTCAGGTGCATAAAACATTCCGCGTTCACGCAGGGTCCGAAGAAGAGCTGCATCCGAAGGTATATGATGTAGACACCCTACCGTAATACAGATATTAGTAGCTGCTTCCACGGCTCAAATACGCGACCTACTATTATGAAATAGTTTAAATTTGTTCTTCAACCATTAATTGATGAAATGTTAGTTAAATGAGATGTTTAAGGCGAGATAAGAATAGTTTTGACAAATATTTTTATGTTTAAGCAAAAGTTGCCAAATTATCTATGGTATTGCACAACATCAATAGGCATATATCGTCTTGAAATCAACCCCCAATTTCAAACTAAAGTTTACATTTCACTTACCATTTATATAATGTTTACTTGGTATATTAAGACTTTATAATGTTTACTTGGTATATTAAGACTTAATTAGTTCTTTAAAAAAATATTTAGTTTCTTGATGTTTGAAAAATCAAGGTGTGATCTAGTTACTCTCATGTTCATATGACACCCACATAAGCAACAAATTCTTAAAAAAATGTTTAAGAACTTTAACCTTAGGATACCCGTTGGAGACATTTAATATCTTCCTTTTTCTCATGTTATACTCCCAGTATAAAATAAATAGGTAAAAAAACAAGAAGGAAGCATCAATAGCTAATGTCGGACGTGTAGAAGAAGTCAATTTTTTAAAAAGTTTATGTTTTGTGAATTGATAATTTTATTATCAGATCACGTCAACCTATCAGAACAAATAACTTTTAATATCGAGTTTGATCTAATAATCTAAAAAATAGGTAATAACTTGTTACAACCAATTAAATTATATGGATAATTTTCTTTTATCCTTTCAGCGTTCACATACACTAATAGTGAATAATATTTACATCTTGGGTGAGCGAAGAGGTGAGGCTTTAGGAAAAATTCAGCGGGCTTGATACAAAGCGGATAATATCACAGGACATTTTTATATATACCCACTTTTGGGGTCACCATTGAAGTTATAATCTCATAGCACAAAATTTTACAAAGTGTACCCGCTGGGATCTGAAGTAGTTCAATCTCTTCAGTGCAACTTCAGAAATCAAATATGAAGTTATTCTATTTTTCAAATGCAACTTCAGAAATTCGAATCTTACATAGTTCAATCTCCTCAATACGACTTCAGAAATCAAATCTGAAGTTCTTCTATCTTTTAAATGCAATTTCGGAAATTAAAATCTTAAGTAGTTCAAT